GGCAGGATCACGCTCAGTGTCGCGCATCTCATCGGTGATCACGTCGCGGACGATGCTGACCGCCGTATGTGTTATCATCTTTTCCGATGCGCCGTGATATTATACCAAGTCTTTAGGTGCTGAGTTGATCGAAAACTGATCAAAATCGCGCGATCGAAATTGATCGATGCAGTGCGCGCATACTTTTCTATAGGATCTCGATGATAGATCTCAATATAAATCATGATGCCGAGCATAAAAATGTGCTGAGTCGAATGAAATTTGCTATGCGGCGAGTCAGGTCGATTCGTTTGTGCTTGTGTTTCAGATTGTTGGTGAGATCAAAAGCAAGGTTTATATCAATTCGGAATTCATTAAGAAGAAATTTATAGTGAAAGTTATGTAAAATTTTGTATTCTGGTGCATTCCTTGAATAACAGCAGTCTGCACGATTATTTGGACTATTCTATCTAATTTGTGTTAATGTGGATTAAAAAAAATTAATTGTGGATGCTGGAAGTACCAAATCGTTTACATCCAGTTTTTAATATAGAGAATTAATTTCTTTTATTAACTCTGACATTATTATGATGACAGAAATTACATTCAGAAGTCTGTGAATGCTTGTTGCTGCTAAAATCGCAATTCACTTACGAATCGACCTAATCGCCGACGTCTTTATCGTGTTCTTAATACTTCGCAATCAGGATGGTCCCGCACGACAGATGAATACAAGAGAAACCTTGTTTAGATGAAGCGGCGCAAGAGACTACAACTAGCGTTATCGAGACGAGCGGAAGCATCGAAGAACCGCCGTCGCCAGAGGGTCGATTGCAACCGGAGGATCTCTCCGTCACGGCCAAGATCAAGGACATCCGGGACACCGCGGAGAACTTGCCACCCCTGAAGACACCCGAGCTGAAGCTATCGGTTCGCAAACTGCTCGGATGCACCCCCTCGCCACCACCTATATCGAGGGACCGATCACCCAGCCCGGAAAATTGCGTTGAATTAAAAAGTCAAAACTCTAGTGATGGCAAAACTCTCGTATCCTCCAATGATCAGGCCAAAGTGTCATCTCAGGTTACAAGGTCGAGTGGACAAGGTCAAGAAGATTCCATTAAGGGTGAGCATAATAGTGAAAGAATAGTAATTCTATACTAATTTCTGTGCGTTGTATGTACAAAATAATGGAATTCTATTTTTCGAAAAATGATACTAAAACTTTTATGACTTGTCTCCTAATAATCTTGAATGGAATAAGATGATTATTCACTAGAGTTTGTAATCAATACTTAATTAAATTATTAGAAATTAAGATTATTAATTAAATTACGAAAGATTAAATGCATAAAAAGATTACTTGTAGAAATTAAATTAAAATACGTTTTTTAAAAGTTATAATTGAGATAAACAAATTACTAAGAACTTTAATTCTTGAATAATTTTATTTTCTAATGAATTAAAAGCAAGTTTTTTGTCTCGAATTATAAATAACTTGCAATTTCTTTTTTCGCAAAATAACATTTGGAAAAATAATTGCATTAGTGAGACTAAAAATGCACAAGAAAAATGTATAGAATTGTTAATTTTAATTAACGATACCGTAATGTGTGAAACACGATTACATTTGCATAACAAAACATTCTACACAGTAAAAAAGAAAATGTCAATTTTAACATTTTTTACATGTCCCAGGAGATCCATTCTAAATTTTAAGTTAAAGTAACTCATTCGTTTTGTGTTATTTATTAACGAACTAGTAATGTTAAATAATTGACACAATACTTTACATTTATATTTGTTATTTTGACTTTAAGGGTGATTTAAAACTAACATATAAAATAAGTAGAGTACATAGAAGAGTAGTTGCAGTAACTTGTAAGAAAAAGTTAATAAAACATTTTTGTTCGTATAATGTGAATGAAAAAATTCTTAGCTGTTAAATTGACTTTGAGATATATAGATTAATTGAAACAATTGTGTTAAAAACATTCAAAATAATATTCCATTTTTAATTGATATACGCAATTGTTAAGTTAGAAAGGTGACATGAATCTAACACATCAAAATGTTACAAAAATAATAACATATCAGTTGTATGTTTATTTTACATTGAAGTAATAATCAAAATGTGGTAACACAAGAAAAATTCTACATATGGACGCACGATTTTTTACTGTGTATATGTCTACCATAGATATAAAGTAGAAATATTTTTATCTGTTGTATTCAGAATTGCTTAATTGAATTAAAATCCTAAAATCCGTTCCCAGACTTTCGTCCCATTTTATGCCTGCCCTGACCCAACGTGCGAGTTAGGTTGTCACTTTTGATTTCGATTGATCGACGTTTCTTACGGCTGGCCCGTTTGCGATTGCCGTGCGAATGAGTGCGGGAAGGTCAGGAACCTTCTAGTGGCGGCATCGAAGTCGCAGCACCGGAGGGATTCGATCTTCGTTTATAATTCAGACCGTCGTCCAATAAAGCTCACAAGTGATTGGGAATAGCTGACCGTTCGCAATGTAACGATCGGCGACCCGATCGGTGATTTCGCTCACGAGCCAAGTCATCTTCGATAAAACTCTCGCTCTGCCGAGCATTGAAAGATGAAATTACATCGATTCCTCGCCGTTCTCTTTTTAGACAAACGGAAACTGCCTCTAATAAAAGTAAATCGCTCTCATAAGAATCGATTCGCGAGGATTATTTTCGGATCATGTTATCATGTTCTGGCGTTTGAAACTTTACGACAATGATTGTAAGTCATTTTTATGTGAAAAATTTTTCTTTAAAAAAAATTACTTATTATTTCCTGCAAAAGGTCCCCGCTTAAAACTCAGAAATCAACTTTCTGATATTATAATATTTTTGACTCTTCTATTAAAATCTTTATAATTTATATCTCAGTAGAGAAATGTTCGATCTCCGTTTGATGGGCTGACTGATTCATTTGCCTCGCTTCTATGAGTATTATATTCTATCTCAAACGTTTCCAAATGAATTTGTTAAATTCTATAAATTAATTTTGCAATAATTGACTATGGAATAATTAATCCATATACGAGTAATGAGACAGAGCGAGTGGAAACGAGCGAACGGACAAGTGGAAAACGGAGGATCGAATCGACGACGATCGCGTTATAAAAAGCGTGTGGCGTTGAAGTAACGCCACGCACGTTTCCCTGCACGATAACTCGGCGAGCCGAGCGGGCTGAACGCGGCGCCATGAATTTATGGTTTAATATGCGGCCCGCCGCGTTAGTTGTGTGTACGCCCCTCAAACGGGGGAGCGACGAGAAGCGCGGTGGCTGGTGCTGCTGCTGCTGCTGCTGCACCAGTAGCTCGCCTATCTCTCGAGGGCCCATAACTTTTTCCGATTAAGCGCAAATCAAAAAGCAATCTACCCGGCCGGCAGCCATCGCGGCCGCGAAAGTAAAACCGTAAATATTCGCCCAGGAGCCTCCGGCCGGGGGACATCCGGTGTACCGGAAAGGGCGTAAAGCAATAAATATTAATGCACCTTGCGGACGCTGATCGCCTCCGTACGATCCTCTTACTCTACATTAATTAAATCGTCATATAGCTCATATACTTTCAACGTGCAAAGATTAAATTGAAGTCACTTTTTGTAACAACTGATATCTATTACAGTTCACCGAAGATGATCATTTTTAATAGCTTAAAAATTTGGTAAATTTAGATTGATGGAGAAAATGCAGCGAGATTTTTAATCTGGATAAAGCTCATTAGAATTCATGTCTGTGCATTATTTACTTCATTCACTGATGTCGATTCTGATACAAGTAGAATAAAAAATATGAGGTTTCACAAAATTATAATAACTCTAATATTGGATAATTGAGCATTAAGTATAACTATGGAATTTATCAGTTTGTACATTCATCATCGTTTTTTTTCTAATACTGATGAAATATTTCTAGTTGATGTGAAACATGTGAAGGCTTCATGGATACTTTCTCAAGTCCTATAGATGATACCATCAGCCTTGCAGCTTTTCAAAAACGAGCACTTCCAGTGATACGATACTCCAAAACACATTTCGCTTCTCCTGACGATTTAGCGTGGCGTGCGCACCCATCGGTCTTCAGTCGCGCGTGTTTTTCCACGATTGCTGTAAGTGTTGGTGCTTGACCGCTGGTCAAAGGCCCGTGCGCTCGTACGTATATTTATGGTACTTGGGGCGCGAGTTTCCTAAAGTATGATAGCGGAGGGTGTACAGCCGCTACTTTAGGAAAAATGAGAAAGAGAAAGAGCTCCCTTCATATTTACGTTCGAACTTCTCGCCGAACTAGCGATAAGTCGCGATACAAAAATGATAAATTGTAGCTTTCGATAAATATTCACGCAAGTAAAATGGTGAAAGTATCAAAATAAAGACACTTATTTGGAAAAATAACGATGCACGTGCTTAGCTGCGGTTAAATATTTAAGTTTAATGAAGTCTAGATAAAACCGTTAAAAAATGAAAAAAAATTTTTTTTTTCTTTTTAGGCAGTGAAATGGTGTCCGCGATTATCCTGAGATTCGGAAAGAATTATGCGACAAAGGGTTAAACGCCTAACTGTAGGAGGGTACAACCGGCACTTTGCTTCATTAAGCAATAAGTGATTGCATGTCTTAAGCTCCCCTTGCTTCTTGCGTATTTATGGGACCGTGTGCCATATCAGCCATATGTGTGGGATACGACGACGCTTTTATACGTCTAATGGCCGTGATATCTCGACTCGTTTTGGAGGGAGAAAAATAGTATAGCTAAGGTGGTCGGTCCGGGGGTAGTTCTTCGGGGGTGGCTTAACTGGATCAGGCCAAGAGGGCAGCGCTCTTAGTAATTGAATTAGTGACCCCTCGCGTCCAAGTGTGATTGCTTTGGGTTTTCCAGTAGCAGGGTTCGGTTATCTGCTCCCCCGTTCGTCCCACAGAATCCCTCTCGCCGTCTCGATCTCTACGAAGTATCGAATAACGTTCAGCAACTACGATTTTGCACCTCGGATCGAGACGTTTGGGATATACTCAGGTAGTTTCGCCAACAGGATTTAGAGAAACGTGTTACAGGATTTGGAAAATAATATGGAATCCCAGAATTTCAATTGTTTCGCGATAATGACATCAATGATGAGTACGTTTTAGTATTGCGACAACCTCTCGTCTCATTTTTTTCTTTATTTAATTTTATTAGAAGGAAAAAGTGAGTTGTCTTTAAAATATTTTAACAAACTCCTTTCATTCGCATGTATAATATTTAAAAGTAAACGCAGAAAGGCTTGCGAGAATTGCATAATTTACTAAATTACAACAAATAGATAATAAAAACAAAATTATAAGAGTAATTATTGTGATACTAATTCGTTGTTCTCTTTTCAGAAAGTAAGTGCTTATGAAAAATGAGAAGGCTAACTGTAAATTCGAAACGATGCCGTTTCTCGCCCCTGGTATCTACGGTACATACGGGAATAAACGGCTGGCACGTTCGAGTTAATGACTGCGACAACGCGCGTATGTGTTGCGCCATGGGTTATGCTAACAATGCGCGGACGAGGGGCGTCGAAAACCGCGCGAGTTATTTTGGCGAGCAGGAGGGAGGTGGTTTTAAACCACCGCTGTACATATGGATGCGGGCCGCACACCCTGCCTAGGGCTCAGATTGGATTACGCGGATATGCGCTAATTGATTAAAGCGCCGTACGCCGTACGCAATGCCGCATGGCGATCGCGCCGGCGTGCAAACGCACGTAGACTGCAGATAGCGGGTCTCGTTTTTTGCCTCCGTTTCCGGATAAATCGCACGGTCGTTCTATTACCCGGTGGAAAGCGACACCGCAGAATATTCCACGATAAAAACGCAATTTATCGGCTCCTCGACTCTCATTTGCGTTTCATACATTTTCCCTCATTAGCGAAAGAAATTCAAATATAGTAATTTATTATATTTGAATTTCTTCCGCTAATGAGGGAAAATGTCAGATTATTATTACTATAATAATCTGATTCTTAAAATCTTCTTAACCCTGTAGGTATGATTAATATATTATAATATATAAATGATTAAGAACTACAGAATAGTAATCTTATTAAAAAATAAGACTACTATTCTGAAAAAGGAATTTAAAGATCACTTCTTGCTTCTCTTCCGTTAATTTTATTTTTATTATTAATAAATTAAATTTTGATACAATATAATTTGGTTCAGCTATAATTCTCAATTTTGTGAAAATCGTTAATATTATATAAGTGTAAATGTCATGAAAAAAAAGGAAGGGATAATTATCTTGAAGGATGAACGAAAAGATGCTCCGAAGCGAAAAACTTTCTTGGCGCGTCGTATAGAGCGGCCACAAGCATCGCCGCGAGTTAGAGAGACGCTCGGATAATTAACGGCTATACGATTTAATTAATGGTCGCTTAATGTAAAGTAACTACGGTACTACGGCTTTTCGAGGTGTTGCCGACGAGAAGGAGGCGCGGAAACTCGAAAGGGGCTCATGACGAGGAAGAGTGGGAGGGACAGAGGTGGATTAAGTGTCTCGCGTAAGAGCCCTTGACGAAGGGGATGTGATTTATATAATTTAGCAAAGTGGTGAGCTACGCAGTCTTATACCGGGTCGTTAGTCATCCCTACTCTCTCCGTTAGACGAGGGAGGGCAAATTCGTACCATCTCACCTTAATCACCCTCCTCCTTCGCCTTTCTGCATCTGTCCGATGGAATCTTCCGCGTGAAGATGCGTCCTCGATGCGATCCCGTAATCTGTGCACAAGCTTAACACAGCGGTTATACACATCGATACACATCGACACACTGCGTTACACACTGCGGACCAGATTATGCTTACTTTTACAGTTCCTCGACATGTTGAGAGGGTATAACTGTCGAGAGGGTTTTCCCACTCGTGCGGGATACGCTTGTCTAATGTCATCTAATTAGAGATGTCGGTATCTCGATTTGAATAAGATTCTCATAAGGTGGTGAGATATATGTTGATGGCACCCAGACTGGGAGAAATGGCCCGTGAACGATTCACGAAGATCAATTCAGTACCATCGGTCGCTCCGGCCTGGTCGTTCTGGCTCGCGGCGCGCATTTGTCCCTGTGAATTAATCATCGCTCGACGAAAACTTCCCTGTTACTCGCTGCACATCTCCGGCGATGATTCACGGCATTCAGGTTTCTGTTTTGTCGAAAGCTTTCCTTAAGGAGGTTCTCACGTGTTTGATGAAATATAAGACAAGTCTATAATATACATGTAATACAAATATTAATAATATCAATAATAGCTAGAAAAAATGTCATTGACGTTTACCCTTTTTGAAGATATTTAATTCTAAATTTATAGAATTTTACATTATATCAAGTTGAAGATATAACCTTATTCTGTAGTTATTCTCTTTTAAATTGAGACACTTGCGTATAAGACAGCAAAATTGTTATAATTATAAAGTAAACACTTAAGTTTGTTCTCGTAAAATTTCATTTAAACTGACGGTATAACAGTTTACAAGAAATTTATATTCTTCAATGAAAAAAGCTAGAATATATGTTAAATGGATGACGTGTATACATCAAATGTGCATCTTACAACTTTTATTTTGTCATTTTGAAAATATTTAGCAACATATAAAATTAACAATAATTATATATAATGGCATAAGATATTGTTAGTAATCTTTTTATTCCATTATTTTAATTGTCTAACGTATTATTATGAATAAACTGTCTATTGATTAGGAAGTAGCGCGAGAACCTCCTTAACAGTGACAGAAAACTCATCTTTTCACACCGCTTTTGTAATGATATTTTATTTACACTTATAATAAAAAACAAATATATATTCGAGAAACGTATAATTATCTTTTAATGATTTTACATAATGCGTTTCCATTTGCTCGAGCAATAATTAATTTGTAGGATCCAGCTGTCGGAGCAACGGAAGCGGCAACGGCAAGCAGAGGAGATCACGGACGAACTTCACCATTGAGCAATTGGCCGAGCTTGAGAGGCTCTTCGATGAGACGCATTATCCGGACGCGTTTATGAGGGAAGAGCTGAGCCAGCGGCTAGGTCTCAGTGAAGCGCGGGTACAAGTCTGGTTCCAGAATCGACGTGCCAAGTGTCGTAAACACGAGAGCCAGTTACACAAAGGTAACGTGCTGTCGCAAATGGAACTCCACATTGGATATAACACGCTTAATTCTTCCTAGATATAATGTGCTTATTTTTCCTTTGCCTTTAAGTTATAAATTTATGGACTTTTTATTTGTAAAAGTCTAGATCAGAAATATTTTGCCGTTAAAAGTGTGAAATGTATGAAAAACTTGTATTACATTAATTGAGAGTAGTCTATTTCTTTGTAAAATTTACATATCAATAGCCAGGGTTGTTAAAAGTTATTTTCTCATTACTGTGTCATTACTTTTTGTAATAAACAATTTGATAATGACGTTGCAATTTTTTATGACGGTAACGCTAACTAAATGCTACGATTGTGCTAAGGCTGGAAAAGTCACTTTGAAAAGTAACTTGCTATCATTATTACGCATTACTCACTAAAAAAAACTAAAAGTAATGAGTAATAAAGTAATGAAATAGTAACTTTCAAATTTCGTTATTCGTTACTAGAAATTGTAACTTAATTACCATTACTGTTACTCATTAGGAAAGATAATTACGTAAAAAAAAGTAACGAAAAAGGTAACTTTGTTAGTTTTTTACATAACTTATACAATCCTGTAAACAGCAATACTACATCAATAGCGATAGTATTCTAGGATTAATATTCGACTGGTAGCTCTAATTAAATTTTCCTACAGGCGTCGCCGGGAGCATGGTGCTGGCACCGCGCAGCCCGCCGACGACGTTGGAGCCGTGTCGAGTTGCACCTTACCTGCCAGCCCTCAGGTTACATCCGCCGCCGATGCAGGGAACTACAAATGTCACAGTAGGATCAGCTTTTGACCCAGCGGTGCTGCACTACGCGGCAGCTGGGGGCCTCTTCTGTCTGCCACCACCACCGCCACCGCCGCCCCCGGCGCCGTCGGCTGGTCATCCTCCTCATCCGCTGAGCCTGGCGGCGTCATTGGCCGCTGCGGCGGCTCGTTCGAAGAACAGCAGCATCGCAGACCTTAGGCTGAAAGCGAGACGGCACCAGGAGGCCTTAGGGCTCGACAGGCCCGCGTAAGGTTCGCGGTGTGGTACGTCTTGGACGAAGAGGGACTCGACGGGGATGAAGAAGTGCGAGTTGTGTCGTGACGGTGAGTATACTCAGGTTCGAAGAAGATCTGTATTTTCATCGAAATGTAACTTGGAGCAATGCGAAAGAAAGATTGACAGTAGACCGACATGATCATGGTGATTTCAATTTTCGATTCCATTGGAAAGGTACATTATATCTTACGTCAAAGTATATTCACTCATTGTTCCTTAAAATTCTATAAGATTTACACCTATATTTTTTCTAGATAAAAACTAATTCAAATTTAAGAGAAATTTTAATTATTTTTTTTTTTTTACATTATTTTGAGAGCAAAAATGTTGCAGTTATTTGTACACGATTAAAATTACAGGTTGCACGTGTCATTGTTTCGTGCAGAAACTTGCTCGCGTATAGAATATAAAAGCGAAACACGTGCATCTCTTCATCCGCGACGTGCCGAAGAGTCTGAGAAGTACAAAGGACACTCAATGTGTATAAAGTAAATTGCGGAAGGACGACGGAAAACGTGTAACATATATAATGTATACAGAATCGGGAGTTTCGCTTGTATCTCGATTAGCGTATTCTGTGTCGAAGAACTGTGATGTAAAACTGCGAAGTTTAATCAGCAACGATTAAGAAGGCGACACATTAATGTAAAGTTTATCTCATCACCAATTCTTGAACCAGTTCTCATCTCAAGTTAGCGGGCATTCGTTCGGAGCGGAAGTTATCGTAGCTTTGTGTATGCTCATGCATGTGAAGACATATTTAAACGGAACGTTTGTCGAAATGTCATATCTGTCAACGTAGGAATTCAGAAAATGTCAACGTATGTTCAGTTCTTTGATAACATTATAAAAGGAAAATCGTAGAATGTTTTCTAAAATACATTTTGTTATCAAATACGAATTTTATCGATAAGGAAATTCAAGAAAACAAAACGCATCGAGATTACTGATCAGCAGAATAAAAAGACTCTTACGTCATCTCTAAGAATAGATTTACGTTGCAAAAGCAATTTCTGAGGGTGATCTACGGTGGAATTCAGAAAGTACCAAGATTACTGACCATCCATGTAAAAGGAACCGTACGTCGTTTCCAAGAGTAGATTTCGGTCACACAACATTTCTTACCAGCGATATTACTTCGCAAGGGAATACGGGAGACTCCAGGACGCGCTGACCAACCGCGGGTGGGAATTATAGATCGCCGCGTCCTGGCAGCGGCTTGCAAGACATAACTTTCGTAGATGATTCACGGGCGGGTGGACGGACGCCGGACGATTTCTCGCGTTCGTCGCCAGCGAGCGAGCGAGCGGGGGACGGCGGACAGCATCGCCGTCGGGGCGCTAATGCAATAACGCGCGGCTACGCGGATAAATCAAGCCGGGCGAACCGCTCGAACGGTGGCTGTGCCGTGCCAGTGCCGCGCCGCGTAATCGCGTTACCCCGGTCGTCCCCGGGGCGCCGTTATAGTCTCGGAACCCGGAACCCCTTGCCCTCAGAAAGGAGGATGAGGTGCTCCGAAAGTCGCACGTTCCTCGAGTCCGGTAATTCGTCCGATTTATCTCCACGTAAATCGCGGGTACGCGAGTCTGGTTTCTCATCTATTCATTAACGAGAAAATATAAGGGACTTTTACGATATCGTCTCGAGTCCAAATATGCTAAGAGAAAAGGGAATTCTCGGTATTATTACCGTTACACGTAGCATGGGGATATATTAGTGTTTACTGTATTGGGAGTACGTTGCTGAAGCTTATTTACTATATCAAATCGCGATGAAACGTCTTCCAGTGCATTTTCGTGGATAAATCAGTCATGCATCTCGGAGGAGGGTTGTAATCGCGTTAACACGGATTTATTCCGACCATCCCCGGGGCGTCGTTATCGTCCTATCCGCGTGTGTCGATAGGTCGAAGCAACGTCGCGTGGCCGTGATTTGATTAGTGACTTTAATTAAAAAGAACGCCGGCGTACAGCAACCGCTTCAACGTATACGACCCATATATGTTGAACTTTTTATAGGCATTGCATATAAAAAAGAAAAGCCATAATTTGGTCGCTTTACGACCGCAAGATTGATTCTGCAACAGTGACTTAACGGTCTCATAAACTAACATGAATTTTTTACGATGTAAACTTTCTTCTAATATATAGCAGATTTTTATTGGATTAGAAAGTAATTCAATTATAAAGCGATATTTAACATGAATTTTTTACGATGTAAACTTTCTTCTAATATATAGCAGATTTTTATTGGATTAGAAATTAATTCAATTATAAAGCGATATTTAAAGCAGAGCTGGGATTTAGTTGCACATTTCGGCTCGATTTC